AGAATAACCATGTTTACTAAAACAAATAAATGTTTAAGACATCTTAGATGAGCTAATTCTCATACACTAGAGTCAGAGGAGTTACTGGTATGACAGAAATGATGCTTTCAGGCCCTTTGTATCCGAGAAGCAAGATGCATTCCTTATATGGAAATGGAGTTAATTTATCTTTGTCAACTGTTAATATGTTTCAGGATAGCCCTAGCATAGAGACTGATGCATGGATTCAGAGATACCTCATTGATTCTTATTCTAATGATTGGACATGAAGAAATCGAGCTCCCAACTCTCAATAATCAGGCAAGTTTTGAGAAGGGGTAGGGGATGATGTCATTAGTCCAGAGTTTGTTAGAAATACAGTGGAATCATTGAGGCAATCTGAACTAGAGTGTCAGAATTTTTGTGATTGTGCTGGATTGAACTAAGGTATTACATTTCCGTGACAAGCGTTATCTCCCTGGTCTACAACCTTGCTCTTATTTCTACCTGCTATTTCCATTCAGGTTATCACTAGTTTGTCCAGGCTGGCCTTGAACTCCCTCTGTACCCCAGGTGTGGTTTGGTATGTTAAACTTTCTGTCTCATCCTCCTGATTGGCTAAGGCTACAGCTCTGTGCTTCTAAACCCCTGCTAAAATGTGTATATTTGAACAAGATTCCCTAGCCCAGTGCTTCTGATGTTCCATATTTTTTTTATGAAGTTTTTATCAAACCACTTGCCACTGGGAAGTGGGAATCAGTGGGAATAGTGACCCCTGGGACCTAAGCCCAGAGGTTAAAATTTAATTGGTTTGGGTCAGTTCCAGCTTAGAATCTTTTTGTCAACCAGCATAATAAAATTAGCAAACAACCACATGAGCTCATTATAAAGAAAGATGAGAACTGTAACTCTAAAAGAATTGAGGAGAAAAATCTTTAATTCCAGGGCAATTTCCAAACATTCAAAGCATAAGAAGTCTTCATTGTTATACTTGATGTGTGCTCAGAATAGAATTAGGGCTAGCATGAAAAGTAGCCAAACAACGCCAGATAAAACAAAATGCCAAGATATTTTACAGTGTTCCAAACAGAAGGTGATAGATATTCAATAGTCTGTCAAAAAGAAATAACAGTCTCCCTTTACTTCTGAGAGTATGATCTACAAAAAGGAAGTAGATGAAAAACACAAGGTAACACAGATACAGAAGAAGACATGTCACCTTGATGATATATATATCTGAGACAGAAAGTAATTTGACTGAAGGATAAATGTAACAGTACACACTTGATCTGCACAACAGACTAAACAAATGAAAAATTGTTGTGGGGGGTGTGCTCAGAAGCAGGTTTTTGAACATCAGAATAAAGCTCTAACATTTATCTTTGGACAAAATGTCTTGGGATTAAGTTCACAAATCGGAAATGTAACATAATGGAATGTGAGTTAATCAACCCTTCCTTGGGAGCACCAAAGCTCATCTCTGTTGGCTTTTCACACCATTCACTCTTGAGACATTTGGTCCTGAATTAGCTTAATCAACATGCACCAATGCAGTGATTTCATTGTCTCTTAGTGCAGACACCATCTGCTGACTCAGAAGAGTCAATTTTGGGGGATAGTAGTTTAGTGAATTTCTAGCAATAAGAAGGGCTGACTGTCTTATGGCATTGTACATCAGGCTTGTGTATGGGGATGAGACTTTAAATGTTAGAAATTTAAAATGTATGCCCAACCAATCCCTGACACTATTAATGATATTCTGTTATGCTTGTAAACAGGTGCCGAACATAAGAAGACAGTTGTCTTCTGAGAGGATCTATCCAGCAGCTGACCAAAACAGGTGCAGACAACTACATTCAAACACTGGGCACATCCCAGGGAATCTCTTGGAAGAGTGGGGAGAAGGATTGAGAGCCTTGAGCAGATAGGGACTCCACAAGAACAACAGAGTCAACTAACCTGGATCCTTGGAGGCTTACAGAGACTGAACCACCAAACAAAGAACATTCATGGTCTGGATCTAGGCCACCCTACACATATGAACAGATGCGTAGGTTGGTCTTCGTGAGTGTCCCCCAACAACTGGAATCAGGACTGTCCTTGACTCTGTTCCCTGCCTTTGGATCCCTTTCCCCTAACTGGATTGCCTTGTCTGACCTCAGTGGAAGAGGATGTTACTAGTCTTGTAGTGATTTGATATGCCAGGTTGGGTTGGTACCCAGGGCGTCTTCTACCTTTACAGAGGAGAAGGGGAGGAGGGTAGGGGGAGGGGCTGTGTGATGGGAGTACTGGGAAGCAGATGTGATTAGGATGTAAAGAGAATGAATAAATAAATAAATAAATAAAAAGTGTATTCTCACATATTTTTAGCCAAAAAACTCTGCTCAATCCAATGGAAAAACCTCCAAGGCAATCAATAAAGAATGCAATTTCAGATACTTTGATGGATCTGATGATGATTTTAAAATAAGGAAATATGCTCAAGTTTCGGGAGCTTGACCTAATTTTCATAATTTTGGCATAGCAGAAAGACATAGTTAAGTTTGTTAAATTGAGTTGAATTGTGGTTGAATACTTTATGTCTCAATTAAAAATCATGCACCTTGATTTAGCCAGCACATCTTTCTTCTGGATATATCTGACTCTGATTTGCATTCTGAAGACATTTAAGTTTCTAATTAGGTAGCAGGTGCCATTTAAAGACAACCTATTCAAATGTCAGAAAAGGCCTTTAATGGTCATGCTTGCTAATAAGTACAGTTCAGTCATTCTTAAAAGGTAGAACTCTTCTGATCAATAGTCCCTGTGATCTAAAACCCAATAGAGATTTTGCTTCATGTGCACAAAACCATTATCCACATGGCCATGAATTCCAAAAACATAATCTAAGTTAATTCAAAGAGCACAATCTAACCTTGTGCAGGTTAATTAAATAAAAATTTCTAGAGAAGCCAAGAAGGATCAAAGAACTCTAAATCAAAATTTGAACACAATCTATAGGATATATGTTGGTTTTGGAGACTGGATTCTACTGACTGTGATGTCACTGCATTTCAGGGGGGAGCATCCATGCATCGTGCTTTCCCTAGAACCGATGAAATGGAAGCTAATGTACAATTAATTATATAGAAAAGGGATTTTTATTTTTAAACATTAACAACTATAATCAGTTACTTATGAAAAAGAAAGATAATGCAGTGGGTATAAGTGAATTAGCTTATTGGCGTTCCTTATGTTCAGGTTGAATGTAAGAGACCTGTACTGTGAGAGAGAAGCAGTTTCATGAAGCCATTCTGACAGGGAGTCTTCTACACTGACTCCCATCTCTACCCATCCCCAAAACTCTAGTTATCTTTGTTTGTTTGCTTGCTTGTTTGTTTTTATTCTTTTTCTGTTATTGTTTTTCAACCTTCTACCCATGTTAAAATTTTTAATATCACAAATATAACAGGAACAGATTTCCTGGAAGCCTCCTGGGAAGCCTCCTTTATACAGAGAGAAATAGACAGCAAGTAGTGGTGACAAACACCCCATCACAGGACGCAATGTCTCTACATTCATGAAATAAGCTGTCTCAGTATTAGGACTTAGAATCAAAAGAAATTTATTAGCATCCCTCTTTTTATAATCTTGAACTGGGTATTTGCCAGGCTTTGTCTTTGGAAGCCTATGATTTTAGATGTTTATAACTGTAATCCACAGTGATCATCTGAAAATGCATGCAATTACTGAACCTATGCAATAATGAATTTGAAATTAGCACATCAAAATACTACAAGGAAATATGAAACAATGGACAGTGGGTGCAATGACATTTATGAAAAAAAAATCTGTTTTTTCCCTCCCCTTTTGGATATGCTGATGTAAATTAGAGATGTACACACATAAAAGCATTCTTCTGAGAATACCTATTTAACACAGATTGAGTAATTTAGGAACTATTTTCTATAATTATAAGGGAAACACGCCCAACTATATCATCTATGGACTATCTATGATCTATATCTATAGCCACATTCATATCTATCTATATCTATATCATCTATATCTATATCTATATCTATATCTATATCTATATCTATATCTATCTATCTAACTCCCTCCCTCCCCCCCACTCTCTGTTACTTTTTGTTGTTATTTTTGAGACCACTTCTTACATGTCTGAGACTGATCTCCAACTTGTAATCATATTACTTCAGCCCCCTGAGTTAAGTTTCAGCTCATAAATCATATGGGGCTACACAGAAGTAACCTGTGCATAGACTAGTGTCAAAATGATCCCATGTCTATGTTATACATGCTATTAAGAAGTAACAACCCTTTCTTGAACCAAAAAAGCATTTCTTATAAAAAGTATGTTTTGTCAATATCTAGCATACCCATTGGGCTAATATGGATTAATAAAAATAACTATTTTTTAAAACATAACATTTTCAGGGTACTGTTTAGGTAACTCTCGAAAAAATTTCAAGAAACAGTATAGATACTTTTAAGCACTGTTAGAAAAATTTTTGCGGGTAAGATATTTTTTGACTATTTAAATTCTGCTCTTAGCATCATAGGACCTAGAAAAAGTCTAGCACAATATATATTCATACTAACTGCCCTACTTTTTAATTGTGCAAAACAAACAATTATACAGTTTAGTAAAAAAAAACAAACAACAAACAGAACAGAACAAAACAAAAACCTTTTGAAGCAAGTGTACGGTGCTGTGCAGATATCTATACACACACTAACATGAGGAAAAGGGGGGCAAAACGCAGCAATACCAGTGGATGATCGTCCTACCTCATAGTTGGTGCTTGAAGTCATGCATTTGTGTAGACAAAAACAAGGATTAGGATTCTGTTTCATTCCTCAACACAATCCATGGAATTCTTCACATGTTAAACATTAACAGTAATGAAATCTAACCTCATTCTGTTTTTCCAATCCCACATGTTCCTTTGTTATATTAAAATGAAGACAATGAATTAATGTCTACAAGTATGTATAAAAAGAAAGGTGTGCACGCCTACCTCCGCTGTCTTTGAGATGCAGTGCTATCTTCGTGTCATCTGAAAGAGAAGTTGAATGTTATTATAAGAGAAAGCGATCCCAAAGGTGCATGAATCTTACACTGGGTAACTGGATTAACTGCTTCAACTCAAACACTTGCTTTTTTGTAATTTACTGAGAGTAGTTTCTAGTTTAATGAGAGAGGAAGATCTAACTTTACATGATGTAGTAATATAATTTTTTTCTCAGTAATGGTTTAGGCTAAGATGGTACGGAAATATCTGAGACTCAATCCTGTAAGAATGTTAAAAAACTAATTGTTGCCTGAAATACAATTTTAACTTCCTAAAACAACTCATAATAAGACCTTATTTACTTTAAATCAAGACTTAAAGCATTAAAAATTAACGGGGACACTACCCTGAATTATGATCTACCTGCAGTTCTTCAGAAGATATGGTACACTGCTTGAGTTATGGTCTCCCTGCTATTCTTAAGAAGACATGGTACTCTGCTTTGAGTCTATCTGCAGTTGCTAAGCATATAGACCATGACATGTTTCAAGGCACAGGCCAAGAAGATTTTGTACTTTTCCACCACCTGGACCCTCTTACCCCCTCCCCTTGTAAAACATGCTATAAAAAAGCATTTCATGTTCAAAAAAAAAAAGAAATTAAAAAAAAAGAAAAAAAAATTAACGGGGAGACTTAGGGTTTATCAATAGTTAAATATTTATCTTAAAAGATTTAGATCAGTAAAAATATGAAAAAATAATTTATAGAAAGATCTTGTTCTGAATGGATAAACATAGGGTATAATTTACCATTTCAAAGGTTATATTTTACTGTGAAAGTTGGGGTTTCTATGGAAATACTTTTTTCACAGTCTTTAGAATAATATTCCAAAATAATTTTAATTTAACTATATGTTAGTTTTAAGAGAAACATAATGCATTTGACATTCATCCTCCATTCCTCTTTATTCCTTTTCCTTTTAATATCCTCTTAAGTTTCAGTTAAGAAATAAGGGTTCAAATTTAACTTCCTGCTCCAGAGAAAGCAACGGTTTTGACAATAAGATATGAGAAAATGTTCTTCCTTAAATAAATATCACATCTACTTCTTACAAATACAATATAGAATATAAAGTCATAAAATATTGATGATTATATTTCCTTCACACATGAGTTTCACCTAGGCATGAACATGAAAGTAGCTTTTCTCTTTTCATAATAGGACATACCTTTCAAGGTATGTTTTGTGATATTTACACTGTCTTGTAGTTCATTGCACTAAAAAAATACTACTAAGTAATATGTGAGTAAAATTATCTGTTGTTCAGAATTTCACAAGTCATTTTATATGCATATTTCTTTTGAATCCTGTATCAGGGATGTAGTTTGATGATTTCTAGGTTTAGCCTAGGTGACTAGAAGCCTATATTTGTTTTCTAAGCAGAACAAAAAGCCAGATAATGGATAACCAAGGCTTAAGAACATGGATCGCCATATGTAAAGAATTCTAGCATATGTTTTCTGATCATGTAATTCTGAATCTGAAAAACTCTTGAGAAAGTTAATTGGCCAAATAACATTCTTTTCTGCCAGTAAACAGGAATTATCCAGTAACCTTTTCTTTCCTATAAAAATAAATAATCTGTGGGTACCTTCTGTAGGCAGGCTGGTAGGTATCTGCGATGTAACAGCTCTCCTGGTGGTGGTCAGGACCCTGAACTGCATGGTGGTCGTATGCGAGGTTGTGGTAGTTTGAGGAATCTCCCCTGGCTCTGTGTTCTCACAAATCTTCTCTTTTGACTAGGAGGAGACACAAGAGTAAAAATCAGCAGACTGGACCAATTATGTTTTTGAGAATTACATTAAAGAAATTGGACTGGAAAGCAAAAAGAAAGAAAGAAAGAAAGAAAGAAAGAAAGAAAGAAAGAAAGAAAGAAAGAAAGAAAGAAAGAAAGAAA